AAGATAAACAAATATTCGCAGAATAATCTCAAATCTGGAAGTAAAATAACATAATCAAAAACTGAAAAGTAATAGAAAAATATGTCGAATCATCATGATAGGAAATCTTGTATAACATCTTGTTCTTCAGGTTGTTCTTCATGTTTGGACATCTTGTCCAACATCTTGCTGTTAAGTTAGTTTTACCAAAATTGATATCAACCTCAAAGGCTTTGACTCATCAATCTCCTCCTTTGACAAATTTTGACTAAAACTAACTAAATAACCCTTGCAAGCAGAAATACAAAGTCAGAGGCCAAAAATTAGAACAGTAGCGGAATAATCAAAACTAAACACTTTAAAGCCTCCCCGTCAATCAGTTCCTTCTTCTGTAGAAATAGAATAGAACTCTCTCTCTCAATAGCAGCAGTCAGTGGTTAGCAGTGGAGTGGTTAGTAAAGTTAGTATTACTCCCCCTTTTTAGCCATAATATGACAAAAATAGTTAAACTAACTAAACAACCAAACAATAACATAAAATATTAAAGTACATAAAAAGCACATGAAGTGCCGAAAAAAAAGTATCCTGGACATTAAGCTCTTACATAACCACAAAAATAAGACTACATTCAGATATCATCTTCAATAGCCTCATCAACCTCTTCTTCTTCTTCCTCTCCAACAAGGTCATCATCAGCCTCATTTTTAGCATCTTCAACATCTTCTGCTCCATCCTTATTAGCATCATTAGTACCACCAGCAGCTTTAGTGCCCTTGTCCTGCTCAGTTGTCAAGGCCTGTATTAATTGTTCAAGTTTAGCCTTCTTAGATGTGTTGGACTTGATGTACGAGACACTATCTAACTAAATCAACAACTTGCATAAAACTTCCAAACGAACATTTGCTTCTACACATATTTTTGCACATAAAATTGCGCTGCACCTACACAACAACCTGTTGTTGTATAGTCACAACAAACAAGGGAGCAAGAAGAAGAAGAAAGACGGAAAAAACCTCCAAAAGAGCACAAAACTACTTTTCAATAGTTATTTTGCTATTTTTGTTTAGATTGTGATCCAGGGCGGTCTTTGAGGGTGTGCAAGGTGGGCTACTGCACAGGGTCTTAAATTTATCATGGTTAAAGAGTGCCTAAAAAAAGGCCTTAAAAAATATTTTTCATGTTTACACTATGACAAAACAGGGTCTCAATTTATTTTTCTATAGTTACAGCCTCCGAAAATTTAAGTCAACTCTGTTATGATTACATATAAGTCAATAAGATTTACGGGGAGTTTAAAAACAATTTAAGTGCCCATTTGATAAAATTTTGATGCTAGTTTGTAACATTTTATAATATAACTTTTGAGTGAATTTTGATGCAAAAGAATTTACTAGTGTTTTGTAGCATTTTTATATAATTTTTTCTTCACTTTGACACTAGTTTGACAAATTTTTGATGTTGGTTTGTAGTAGTATTTATGGTGTATTTGATAAATTTGAGAGCTAAAAGGTACAAATTAACTTCAAAATCGAAATTGCATTTAAGAGAAAAAGAGATAACATATGAGGCAAATGCAAAATGTTAAGGAATTAAATATCTTAGAGAAGATTTAAAATGCATTTAAGATTTCGGAAATGAATCTCTGAATGCATCTATGCACCACCTTATAATTTATCGAATGAGTATCATTTCAGAAATATTAAAATGTAATGTTTGATTTTATGTTAAAATTGCCTAAGTAATTTTGATTTTATGTTATGAATGATAGTTTTATCTTGTCAAAATATAACTTTTTGATTTCCTACTTCTGTTTGTGTTTTAGTATGTTACGGAGATGCATTTACGAATATATTACAGAAATGCATCTCCGGATCTAAAAAAGCCACACTCCTAAAACGTGACTCATAATTGACTTAAAATATGTGTTTGAAATGCGTCCAAAGATATATATCTAAAGTTTAAAATTAATTTTTTATTTTTAGTGTTCTAGTAATATATATGGTACATTAAAAAATACTCAAACACTAATAGTAGAGTCCATCCACTCTTGGCCCAAAAACCATGACGTCTCTTTCCAACAAAATTCTACCGAATATTAACTCGTGTCATTCACTGATTCGTAGAATGCACTATTGTAATGTTAAAAAAACATGTCTACGTGTTGCAATCGAACCAATGTATCAGTGCGCTCAAGACACATCCAATGCACCTTAAAAATAATAATAAATAAAGAAAAAGCTAACCCATCTACCCTTAATCCAATGGTTTTATTATACTGACTCACACGCTTCATGCTCCCTTTTCTCTTTGTTTGGGATGTCCAATGCGTTGGTAACCAAAACCCATGGTTTTTAGCCATCTTTTACACTAAACCACTACCTTCTTCTATACACATTGCCGTATCTAAATTGCTAAAGGAGCTTTTCTTTATCTTACCAAAGTGCATCAAATAAATAAACAATAATATACAGGATCACAGGAAAAATAACATGTGCATAAAAAAAAGTTAAGAGTATTTTACTATATTAAGAAAACAACAAAAGAATCAACTAATCATAACAGAAACCAAGGTGAAAACAACTGTCTCAGACGGTGGATTTTATCTGAAACCATCAAACTCCACCATCCACAGTGTCACTCCCTTCTCTTTCTTGGGTTCAAAATCAAAATAATTTTGTTAATCAACCTAATCTTTCACCAACTCACTATAAATATGCACCCAATTTCATACACTCTTCATTCAAAACTACACCAATTATATATTCACCTCTTTACAAAGACTTCTTTCATTATCAGCTTTTGTGCAACTCAATTCAATTCAATCTTTGAAAATGGCAGAGAGAAATGTTGCTGCTAACTCTTCTCTTGATAGAACTAGTTTGGCTTATCTAGATCAGAGGATGGCCATGGCCAAGCGCTGTTCTCATCGTAATGCACCCTTTACCAACTAATTATACTATCAATCTATAATATAATCTTCTGTTTCCTTTGTTTTTTTATGTTTTTGTTTCTCCATTTGTTGTGTAAACAGAAGGTGTGATGGCTGGAGCAAAGGCTGCTGTTGTTGCTACTATTGCCACTGCCATTCCAACTGTAACTAATCCTTCCTTCCACCTTTTCTATTTTCTTCCATCCATTCCTGCATTATTCTTCACACAGATCTCATTATTGGTTTACAATTTAAAATATTCCAAGAGATTTTTGGCATATAGCTAACTGATAGTATATATATGTTTCATATGCAGCTGGCTAGTGTTAGGATGCTACCTTGGGCAAGAGCCAACCTCAATCACACTGCTCAAGCTCTTATAATTTCAACAGGTTACTGTCAAAACATCGAGCTACTATTCTCCTCTCACAATCATTCTTGGTTGGATACTTACTCTCATATTCTGTTTGTAGTGGCTGGAGCAGCATATTTCATAGTGGCTGACAAGACCGTCTTGGCAACGGCAAGAAAGAACTCCTTCAAACGACCCTCCAATGCATGAATTCCAAATGCATAACTTGGATTGTGGATTCGGATGCGCATCCGGCTAATCTTAAATTCTTAATCAACATTAAGCAAGTTTCGTCGTATACTCTTCACATATGTAATTATAAATAATGATTTGCATTTCAATATTGAGAGAGTTCTTATGTACTACCAACCAATCATAGTTAATCATATGAATGCAAATCAATGACATCTCTTTCTGCATAAGTGCAAATGATATATTCCATTGAATAGATAGATTAAGCTTCACCAGCAATCATTGCATGAACAAAACCCATCTTTAAAATGATGGAACCGGTTTCTATCTCTTGCAATTATTTCCCTATTGAAAATCTTAGATATTAGCTTGGTAGCTGAATGACAGTTTCCACAAACACGAAGATTCTTCACTATCCTAATTGGAGTTCCAGGCTTTGTGCTAATCAAACCAAAAGCAATAGCCAGTCTCTCACTGTGATGACTCAAAGCTCCTTCCTTCCACTCTTCATCCATATCATAGAGTACCTCAGAAGTATCGGGCACAAACCCATTTTCCTCCAAAAGCTTATCTACCTCATCCAACATTTGATAAATATTTTTGCACTCGGGGTGGAACTTATCACCAACAAGGAACTCATGAACAATGCCATCAATCTCTATACAGGTGCAGCCAGGAACTTTCTTCATTCCTTTGTCATTTAACCTTGTCCTTATCCTTGCTACATCATCCCATTTACCAGCTCCTGCATATATATTCGACAAAAGCACAAACGCCCCTGCATTTTTTGGCTCTAATTGAAAGAGACGTTCTGCTACGAATTCACCTAACTCTACATGTCCATGAGCCTTACAAGCACTAAGAAGAGAACCCCAAATTGCTCCATCAGGCTCCATTTCCATGTTTTTCATAAGAATCTCTGCATCTTCAAACTTTCCAGCTCTAGCTAAGAGATCAATCATGCAACCATAGTGTTCCAGTTTCGGAGAAATCCCATAATCTTGCATCATCAACCTAAAATAGTGGTGTCCAAGATCAACCAAACCAGCTTGTGTACAAGCAGATAGCACCCCAACAAATGTGATGTCATCAGGCTGAAATAATGTTTTGTTGACCATTTCTGAGAAAAGTTTAAGAGCCCTCTCTGCATGTCCATGCATGGCAAATCCTGATAACATGGCATTCCAAGAAGACAAATTTCTACAATGCATACTTCTAAAAACCAGTTCCGCCGCCTCAATGCAACCACATTTTGCATACATGTCAATGAGACTTGTCCAAAGAGAAGCATTGCTACTGCATTTCAAGTTCTTATCTATGTATACATGAACCCATTTACCAAGGTCAAGAGCACCAAGGCAAGCACAAGCATGAAGAATGCCCAAGAAGGTCACATCATTAGGCTTCACATTGGATCTAAGCATGACATCAAACAATGCTAGTGCTTCTTCATACAAACTCGAGTAAGAATAACCACCAATCATAGTATTCCACGAAATCACATCCTTTTCCTCTATCCCATCAAACAACTCACGAGCAGTATCAATTTCACCGCACCTAGAATACATATCAATGAGTGCATTGATCAGCTGAAGATTCAAACCAAACCCATTATCTCTAACCCAAGAACCTATCCAATTACCCAATTCAAGCAACCCCGTGTGACCACAAGCAGAGAGAAGACTCACCATTGTACTCTTATTGGGTGAGACATTTGCCTCCTGCATCTCATGAAAGCATGCAATAGCTTCTTCAAAACGACGACTTTGAACATACCCAGCAATCATAGCATTCCAAGACACCACATCTTTGGTGGGAATTTCATCAAAAAGTCTTCTACCATCATCCACATAACCCTGAGAGACATACCCAGTAATAAGAGCTGTAAAAGAAACCGCATCTCTCAGAGAACTCTTATCAAACACCAACCGTGCAAGGTCCAATTCACCAACAGAAGCGTACATATGAATGAGCGAAGTATGAACATGTGGATGAAAATGAAGCGACAACTTCAAAGCATGAGCGTGGAGCTGTTTACCTTCACAGATAGCCTTTGATTTGGCGCAAGACTTGAAGAGGAATGGCAAAGTGTGAGAATTTGGTTGAAGGCCATAGTAAAGCATGCGAGTAAAAAGGTGCAAAGAGGATATGGGAGAAGAGCTCAAAGAATGGCCACGAATGAGAGAGTTCCAAACGAAGTGGTTGTGTTTGTGCTGTTGTTGGTTTTCTGCGAAGAGGGAGAAAGCGTAGGAGAGGTCGCCGGAAGGTGAAACGGCGCAGAATTGGATGAGTTTGCTTTGAACGAAAACGGTGTTGTCGAGACCGGTTTTGATGACAAGTGAGTGAATTTGCTTGAAGGTGTTGATGTTTTTGCATTTTGCGAGGAGTTTAAGATAAGGATGTTCTTCTAGAATCTTGTAAGGAGGGTCGGAACCGGGAAGAAAGTGAAGAATGGAAGATGAACATGACACTGATAACATTGTAACTGAATTTTGTTACGGGGCGTTTGTGTTGAACCAAATCCATTTCACAGGGGATTTTTGTAAAGATAATATAATGCTATATTTGGAGAAATTTGTTTCAAGAGTTCATAAATTATTTTAAAAATTATTTATTCAAGAATTAAAAAAAATTAATTTCTGTGTATTCAAGAATAAGAATTATTTAACACTCCGCTTTTTTAATTCGCATAAAAATATAAACGATATTTTTTGTTAAAATAAATTATTTTAAAGATACAATATATGAAAATTAATAATAAAAGTTATGTAAAAGTTAATAATAAGAAATTGTGTGAAAATTAATAATAGAAAATTATTAAGTAAATTACACTAAGGGTAAAAATAGTAAAAAAATAGGACACACCAAAATAAAATATTCCCTTTATATATTATATAGATATAATTCTCTATTACAAAAAATGTAGTTACGTTTTTTTTCAAAAAAAAAAAATCATATCAATTTTTATGAGAATATACATTCTTATATTTTCGAATAAAATCATGGAATGAAGTTATTGGAGATTATTTGTTTTCATTAACTTTTATATTTAGATTTTTTTTAAACACTTTGTAACAAACATAAGGATAACTAGTTCCTAGTCATGTATTTACGGAAATGTAATTCATAAAACTTGAAACAAACCAACAAACCCTTGTAAATTTATACTACCCTTCAAGAAAAATAATAGAAAAAACAAAATAGCAAAATACAAAAGCCAAAAATGTGCTACGGCCAAAAAAAAAAAACAAATACATAATAAAAAAAGTTTTATCCAACAATAAATCATACATATATAAGTATACGCTCATAAGTCTAATAGAACGTTTGAATATCAATTATTTTTTTTCTATCTTTAATTGATTATATATATATATATATATATATATATATATATATATATATATATATATATATATATATATATATATATATATATATATATATATATATATATATATAAACCAGTTAAATTTAAAGATTAACTTATAATATTTTTTTATAAGGTATTTGTGTTAATCTAAATATTGTATTAACTTTTTATCCAACTTAATTGAATATTTAGTTTAATCTAAGTATCACATGAAATTGATTATGTATACGAGTAAACTCAAGTATCATTTACTTTATAATATTTTTTTTATAAGACATTCATGTTAATCTAAAACTCATATTGACTTGTATGATATAAATTAATTAGGTTTCGACTAAAATCGAGTATCAATCTATTTACAATCTTTAATTGTTTATGAATACATATCACCTTAAGTCAAACATGGCTTCTATAATACTTAGAAAAGTTATTTAGGTGAACTTAATTATTATAATGGTATGAGCCTAAACAACCCAATCAAAATATATTATGAATCATCTACTAAGAAAATCAACTATTCAAAGTACATAACATGCCCAATAGTGAGGCCCAAAACCATAGTATATAGGGTAATCACTCTGACCTAATAAGATGATACAACACATTAATCTATCCTTAAGATTATCCATGTAAACAACATGTCACCACCACTTATCTTGGAGTCAGATATGTTAAATGAAATATGGTTTGAAGAAAAGTAACCTTTGTTTATAGAGTTTTTATGATAACAATATAATACTTCAGCATGTTTGTTTTCACATGTAGAACAATTTTAAATCATCTACGAAAAAGAGAACAATGATCTTTTATAGAAAGACAATGAAAATGATCATTTGTACCAGAGTCAACAAGTTTGGCCAAACGATCATCTGAACCCAGTTAGAAGAAATTATCATCTTCCCCGTAGAGAAAAAAAATATATCATATGTACCTAATTCAACAAGTTTGACCATATGTACCAAGGCTAATGTGACCAAGTATACCTCAAAGAAAAAATGATCATATGTACCCCGACAAATATGATCATATTTATTCAACACAAGTGAACAATTTTGCCTAGATAAAGAACTGATCACCAATGCCTAAATGATGAAGCCCTATTGTGCTATGTGACCATAAAGAATATTTTCAATAGTAACGTCATGATAGTTGTGTTTCTTCAAAGAATAAAAGGATAAGAATCAATACAAGGAATTAATAGATGAGGCTTTGTAAAGATAATACAATTTCAATTGCTTCACTCACAACAAACAAATGATTCACAATTCAAAATTTCCAAGTCCTATATAAAGGACAAATTTAAAATTTTAAGATTACACACTCATTCACAACTAATTATTGTCATGTGTCACTGAAACATCGTAAATATTTGTGAATTTTGCAAAACATTTTTGTTCTTACCCAGTCTCGAACCCCAAAAACAACCCAATAAGAAGGGGTCCAAAATAGCCATAAAGTTTAAAAGGTAAAGATATTTGAGATAAGAATGATGTCAATGCAATGACGTCGATATACAAATATCTATTACCAGACAGAAGGTTATGTGACATGTGGAGCAGATATACACATTCCCCAAAAAAAGACCTAATCCAAGCAAGAAACCGAGGCAGAACCCTCATATACCATAACAAATAATATTATGTCATCTGTTAGTATGGAAAATTTTAATTGAAGTTAAGGTACAATGACCCTATATAAAGCTTCCTTGTTGGAAGGAGCATAGACGTCAAATTAAGAAACATACAAAAATTTATTAAAATTCCATACCTCTAATATCTAACAACAACTGATTTAGGCGTCAGAGTATATACATGTATCCCATCCCCACCAAATCATTCTAGTAGCCAGGAAGAGACTAATCTTCAGAATGGTAATATCAAAACCTAAACAACTTTGAGAAGAGGCTTCCTTGTTGGAAGGAACATTAGCACCGTTTGTGAGAACAAAAAATAACATCCTAGTTAGTTTCTCAAAAACATAGGAGATTAAAAGTCAGAGAAGAATACAAAATTGTAACTCCATTCGTCCAAGATCTATCGCAAGCATGACCGTAAGAGTTAGCCCATGTTGAGAGGATGGTCTCACTACTTCGTCATCTGGCTCAAAGAGCCAAGTCAAAAACCCTCGATAGTGGAGGCTTTTGCATCCCCCTCTGATGAATGGGGAATCTAAGCACCAAGGTTTGTTAACGTTGATTCACCTGAAGAAGGTAACAACGTACTTATCAACTTACTCATGAAAGACATTTTACAAATGAAAAAAATATTTTTCTGGTAGACCTATTGGTAGTGGTCAACAAATAACATGCATCCAGGAACTTCAAAATGAACAGTTCCAAGAAGGGGAAGTCTTGAATCATCGTCACTTCCAATCTTCGGACACTAAGGTAACATAGTTACCAACCTAATATTGAGGAAGGACGAGGGGTCATAGATGGAATAGGAACATGTCTCTCAAGCCAATAGAGGCTCCTCAATACACTTCTAGCTGGGAGATTGTTGACAATGATCTTAAGTTCGATATCATCAGAGGACTGTCTAGTCAACATTCTATGGAGACTCAGAAGAAAGAGAAATTACATTTGAAAATTCATTAACTAAGAGTGTAAAACCCCCTTCTATACCCCAAATAAATGCATATAAAACAATTAAGCACATACAAATTATCAGAGTAAAAAGGTTTTATAATAAGGTATAAAAGAAGAATGCCACAACTCCACCAATAAAACACTTTCACATTTTTGCTCCATAAAAATATGTAACATTTTCGTAGTTTTAGAAATCACATTTAAACATTTAATTTAAGCGGAAGATAACATCATTTAATCAGTTCCAAAATATTAATTCAAATGCACATAAGTCATCCAGATTAGTACATCATATCAGTTAGATTACAAAACCCCATCAGCTGATACATCGCAATGTATCACAAAAGAATGACTATACTAGTCTAACTACCCGGTGTTACATATCAGAGCAGCAGACTCAAAAGAATGAAGACTAATCTTCACAAAAGGACTCCAGCATCCTAATCTGCAATGCCTCATAGAGCATTATAAAACAGCAGAAGGGTGAGAAATATAACCATAATAATCAAGGCATAAGATTATATATATACAGGTAATCAATACAAGTTCCACTCCGTATTTCTCACCATAATTCATTCTCTTAGTCATATATATTTACCACACATATATAGACAAACATGGATATTCACAAAGCATTCCCACATCATGCATACTCTCACAATTTCACAATCTCATCATTCACACATAAGCATCACTTCATGCATATGTCATACATTAATGTGACTCAACAACTCAATGCAACTCATGCAATGCGGTACCGACTCTCGTTATCTTTTTTTCGGTTTTTACATTAAATCGGGTCCACACTTCTAGATCGATAACCCGTTATCTTTTTTTTTTCGGTTTTTACATTAAACCGGGTCCACACTTCTAGACCGATAACCACAAAGGCCCGTCCTCTAAGCCTTCAAACCCACACTTCTAGGTTTGGGACAAGCCACTAGTTTCCACGAAACTAACAGACATTGCCTCTTGACTAAATGATGCATGTACAATCAATCACAACAAATGCACTTAAGACCGACATCTTAATCTCATGCATTTACATAATTCATCACTTCAAGAATTACACAATGATTGCACATACAACATATATCACACAATCAAGGTATTCACATCACAATACCATTTATACAATTATAAGTCATGCACACATATCCACAATGTTCTCATGCATACTCATCACATAATTGTATACCCATTAAGCATTCGCAAGTTCATTAGACAATACACATACATTCATCATTGTATTCACATGTATTTCTATTTATCATAATTAATACGCATCGCACAACAACTAGGATTCACGCCCGGAGGCTACCCACAGTACACATCATCTCAATAGATCATATCTATATCATATCATAGAGGTATTAATCTATGTGAAGCAACCAAACCATCACCACATGAACAACACAGCAAGAGAAGAATGATGTCACATTCGCCTTCATTCGCCTGGCGAACCCTCGCAGCGAACCTTCGCCTGGCCTTCGCCTGGCGAACTCTCTCAGCGAACACTC